TCAGCGTTAGGGTCGCGACTTCATTGTTCATTTACAGTAAGGAAATAAAAGAGTTCAGTGCTGAAAGAGAAATGAATTAAAAGGGTTACCAATCGAGTGATAAAGGGAAGAACGGGAAAGAAATTAAGTCGTTAAGTGGTTATTCACACTTACATATACTGTATAACCGAACAACTGACGTTTGGTGTCGCCATAATAGTGGAAGTTCTGCTGGAACAAAAAGTTGTGAGGGTAAAAGGCTCGCAATGCTCGTTTTGGTCCTACACTTAGACATACGTGTATCATAAGTATTTCATGTAGTTTAAGCTACTTTTACAGATAGTTTTTTTGTCCATATATACTACTATTTAAGTGTGGTTTAGGTTACTTTTAGCGCCTATTAACTTTTCTTATATTTATTATGTGTTAAGGATGGCAGTCATAGGGATGCAGATCGCTCTGTGTGTTTAACGTCTGCACCTGGCTTAATCATGATGCCTTAATCAGACGGGTTGCCTGCAACCATAGGCACTCAATTGAGTTGAGTGACCACCCCCCGGGGGGAGAGACAATCCCCTAATAAGGGGGCCTTTCTTACCCCGAGGTGCGCAGATGGTTCACCGTGTATGGCCGTATGAACCGTCACTCTGGTTAGTGTGAGGCCTAGCTGCACTCGATTGTTCCACTTTGGCTAGGAACTCCCAACCACAACCACCACGAGTACTTCCCGAAGGGCTGCACCCAAGCAGTCAGGACTCACAAATTGATCAACGATATTCGTTCAAAAGGGAAAAATTGCGCTCGCTTCCGCCATAAGGCTTCCACGGCGCCGTTGATCAATTACCACCATTACCCGCAGGCATCCGTGACATCCGTTCAAAAGTATATAGGCAAAAGGGGAAAAAGCCTTCCGTCAAATCCCTTTTTTTAATATTTGCATGTATTAATTCTTAAGAGGGTTGTAGGCCAAAGGGAAGGCCATCCGTCAATTCGTTTTTTTTTTTTGGTATCTTAATGTATCTTAATCTCTCTCGAGAAAAATTTTTATTCCAACGACTTTATGAACAAAGTCATTCATACACCCGCAGGCATACGTGGCTTTGTGAGGCGAGCCTCCTGACCCCCGTGGCTCCTAGTTTATTTTGCAAAGCCTTTGGCATACTTACAACCGTACTTGCATTCGGATTCTCCATACATCCTGGTAGCCAACAACAAGAACTACTTTTCTTCCGTTGCCAGGGGATCACCACTGGGAGGTGAGGGTGTCGGCCATCTATGTCCCCCATTAAAGCATAGTTTATCTCCCCTCATAGGGATGCAATATGCTATAAGTCAGGACCGGAATGAATTACGGAAGAATTGTCAGTCACATATTTCAAATGTAATCAATTATGTGATTGGAAACGCCAATTTAATTTCGAAGATAGGCATAGAGCGGAAGAAGATTGCACACCATCTTCCTTCTGGATCGAACCGTCGTCTGAATAACAACTCCCAAACATAAGTGTAATTCCCCAGGTGAATTATCTATAGAGGCGCCGATTAGACGTAGCTCCTTCGGTTTGCCGTCCAAAGAGATTAAGTATGATAGGCGATAGGCCGAGGTACATAAAGTGTAATCACTCAAACTTCATAAGATTCCTGTGCCTATTTTACCACGTTAGCTCATACGATTAGTCACAGTTTCGTAGAATTCTAAAATAAGATAATAGAAGAAGTACAATTATTTGACCCCCTCGGATATATACTTGGTTGGAAACTATGAAACTGGCGTTGGTATTATGAGTTCGAAAAAAATAAAAAAAAGGGGTACAAGCACATCAACATTTTATAAAATGTGTAAAAAGAATGTCTTTAAAATTTAATTCGTAGTCGACTTGTGTTCTGAGTAGTGCGTGTTTTCTTTTCGTCTACGATTTTTTAATTGTTTTGGCAATTTTGTGTATTTAGCTCGTATCTTTTCAGTGTTTTTGTTTAAACTGGTTATCGCAGATATCGAGGATACCGTATGTGCTTTCGTTTCCTCTATGTATAATAAAAAACAAAAAAAAACAAAAACAATAAAAATAAAATTGAAAACAATTGACGTTTTCCTTTAGTAGTTCCCAATCTTTCTCCAGTGAGTGGTCTTTTCCCAAATTGCTAAATAATAGACAACCATAAGGCGTAATGGCCACGTGGCTGCCAGATAAAAACTCAAATAGGTTTCATCTATTAGCGGACAAATCCCCGCAGAGAAAAAGAAATTAAAAATTCAAACTTTCGGTGTTTCTAATCAGTAACAACACTCCTACTGACAAAAGATATTTTGTATTTCTTCAACTGATACTAGCATAACAATTTCACAAATCTGTCCTTTCGCTATAAAAAAAGCCCTAGATAGCATTACAACATACATAGGCTCTCTCTCGATTCTACGTGATGGTAATTTACTCGTCTTCGCTGGGAATCCGCGTGCAATGAAAAACCTCATAAGTCCGAAATCATTAGCAAATTTATGTCCAATTTCCGCTAAACAAACTTAACTAAGTTAGAGGCGTAATTTATGTGGCGTGCTTAAAACATGTGCCGGAAGACGAAATAGTTCGCGAAATGGGCAATCAAGGAGTGACTGAAATCTATACTATCACTAAATTAAATGACGACGGAAAAACTCGCTCTCCTACAAAAAGGTTTATTTTGACCTTTAATCGCTATGGGTTATCGTAAACTGTTGATGTGGCTTGGTATAAATGTAAAGTGGAACTCTACAGTCCAAATCCCGTAAGATGCAAAAACTGTCAACGCCTGGGTTATACGGCACAAAGATGCAACAGTGCTCTATCTTGTGCTAACAACTGTGGTCTTCCTCCACTTGCTGAAAGCTGTACCCGTAGTTTCTGCTTAAATCGTAATGATCAGCACTCGGCATCGGCATTAGACAAGCAATGCCCAAGTTTTATACAAATGCGTGAACTTCTAAAAATCGAAGCAGAAAATTACTGTGGCATGTGTGAAGCGCGACGCAAGTACCAGGAAATTAATCCATCTGGATGGCAAAGTATTAACAAAAGTAATACCTACGGTGCTGTCGCCTCGCAAATCGAGCCTAATAAGCCTTTAAGTCTAACTCCTTCCAACGAAAAGCCTGTTCTACCATCAACCAAAAATTATATTACGAAACCAGTTCCACCACCCGCCGAAGATAATATTGAAAAAATCAAAACAACAGCAAATATTGAAAAAATTAAAACAACAACACGTATCCTAAAATCTAATAAACTAAATTCCCCAGAATCAACAGCTCTCAACTCTAGTCGATAAATCACAAGTTGTAATGAATCCAATCTCTCATTTCTTAATCAACCTTCAATTTCAAATTATTCACGTGCGCCCACTCGTTGCACTTCCAATCTGCGCAATCACCCAAGTACAGATTATTCTGCTGGTAAGAACAATTTACTCACGCAAAATTCCTATAGCGACCTTTTAGACGGAGACGCTGGTATGTCAACTTAACCCACCTACCACTCCGTCTCCATGTTACTACAATTAAATAAAGTTTTTAAAATTCTACAACGGAACGTTAAGCGACTTATTGATAATTTTCATACTCCAAACAAACAGTTGGTGTTTTTACAGGATCAAGTCTACCTCACAAACGCATAAATTTAAGCTCAAACATAAAAGTCGTAACGATACAAATAATTTTAAACATAAAATGTACAGTGCTTTCGCTCTATATCCCACCTTTGCAATCGTTTTCCCAGCAAGAACCCCATAATTTATTCTCCGTGCTATATAATATGGTCTTCTTGACTAGCCAAATACCATGCACGTGGAAACTGGCAGCAGTTGTTCCAATTCTTAAGTCAAAAAATGTCTCCATCGCATCGGATTATCGCCCAATCTCTCCTTTATTTTGGCTCTCAAAGGTATTGGAAAAGATTATGGAATGTAGATTATCTTGGTTTCTTGAGTTCAAGAACCTGATTACAAAGCAACAAGTTGGTTTTCAGCGAGGTAGAGGGTACATTGACGCTCTTTTACGTATTGATTATTTTACAAGCAAAACAATTTCCGAACGGAATCATGTAAGGATTCTCTGAAATGATTTTGAAGAAGCATTTGACAGAGTTGATCTTAATGGAAGAAATCATGGAATGTTGGACCCAAATTCTTCAACTACATCAAATCATTTATGTCGCATCGGCGGTTTCCTTTCCGCGAATGAATGGTATTCCGCAAGGATCTCCTCTTTCTGTCACGCTTTTCCAGATCGCCTTCAACGAAATTAGCAAAATTCTTTGCCGTGTACCGAGAGTCGAACATTGTCTCTACGCGGACGATGTGTACATGTTTACAAAATAAAAAGATACCTCCATGGATTTTCAAAGACTGCTGTTTTGGCTGTCTATGCACAAGAAAGAAGATACCTCATTACGTCTTCAGGAATCTAATAGCTGAAAAAACCCAAGTACTGGAGAGTAACGATTGGTCTTTTATACATAGACGACTCAAAATTTTCTGATCTGCCACCTGCTTGTGCCGTGGTGTATGCGTCAGGACAAATTCTTCTCAATCAAGTGTGTTTTTATCATCCATCGCGATTCAACAACGATTTCTGTCAAACTGAGCAAGGTAGTAACACTTTCCGCGTTAGGCGCTTTTTTCGTACCGTACCTCCACCTGAAGCCCAAAAAGTTATATTCTGTACGCGTTAGTACAATAACTTATTGTGTCGCATAACACTTAAAGATAATATTTTCAGAAGTTTATTCCTCACCTTGTCAATACTCTTTCTTAAGTTCAAACAACGGCGAGAACACACTCGACATTCTACTACTATGTACGAGATTCTAAATACATTTACATCACTGCCATATTACTGATTACACTATCGTCGAATATTGATAAAATTATCAACAAAGCAGGCGATTCTTTTTTTTTGTTAATTATGAACACAGAAAAGATAGAACTTTTACTTTTATTTGTCAGTTGGTTTTTATCTGCAATCATTAATAAACAAGTTTACTCTCTTTCCAATTCACTAAGTCAGTTCGATGGATGTGTTCAAATAATTAAAATCGAAGTTTGTTAATAAACTAAACGATACATATAAGCAAAGTATGTGTGATCACCGCTTATACCGAAGACAAATGGTAAAATATTAATTGAAATTCTACGGAATGTTGGAAAATTTAAAATCTTTAACACTTTTTTTCTATTAAGAGATATCACGTTATTAAAGTGATTACGCCTAAATTAAAGCCTGCTAAACAAAGCCATGTCGACAAAATTATAGCCCTGTCGTATCGTCTTAGAGATGCTCATGTTATATGGCAAACGGCTGAAAAAGCATCGTTGATAAACAACGCATACACCACATGGAAATTTTGCGTACTACTGCATAAAGTCTTGCGTCTGGGGCCAAAAGAAGTTATTCGTGATTCTTCAGATTATTTTTCTCTAATTCAATCAAGTTTGATACGTTGGGAAAAGCAAAACAATTTAATCTATTGTTGCATTGCGGCATATTGGAAAGTCTTGTATGGAAGAATTTGGTTTTTGTGCAACTACGAGAACTTTACAAACAAATTAGATTGTGACCTATCGCACATCGATGACTATGGTGAAAACTGTCGGTAATTATTGCAGCTTGATATTTTTTCTTCGCTAATGTTTTTCTCACTTTTTTTCTCGCAACTTTCCCAGTATTTCATTACTGTCGCATATATTTGCTTATCAAGAGCATTTAAATGAGCTGCTATTCACCGTTTTGTCTGCACTGGATGTACAAAATCTTAATAACTCTGGTGATTGTCGTCAAACTTTTTTTTTAGCTCAAGCTTTGCCTAGTGCAGTATCTGATAGCGATACTCTTTATGGTTATGCATTCCTTCTAGTGAAAAATTTACGCCCCCAGTTATCCCCAGACACCTCTTCCGATTTATGTAGACGATTTTGTTCGCTATATACAATAGTACAAGAAATTTTTGATCAAATTACTTTTATGCAAATGAATTTTGGAAATCTGTTGGATTTACCTAAATTTACAACCACACTATGTTTAGATATGCCTAAACTAACTTTGCAAGAACCTACAGCTCCTTCATTAATGGATTGCTAATGTGTGAAAAGCTAAATGAAAAAACCTCACTAATAAAATTTCAGAAAGCGGCCTCTTTTCTGTTTTGTCTTAATAAAACCATATTGTTAAATATATGAATAATATATATATATACATATATTCAAATGAATCTGACAGATGTAAAAGTTATATATATTGTAGCGTACTTTTTGATTTTTGTTAATTTTTCGATAGTTTGTAAGAAGAAATTCAATTTTTGAAACAAAATTTTATTTGGAAAATAAAAAAAAAGGGTCGGTTACTACCGGCATTAAGTTTGACACAAATTTCATTTCATTTATTAAATAAAAGGCAAGTTATGTGCAGCCAAATATAAAGATTTTAATGCACAACGGCTTACATTTTTCTGCCAAAAAGCCTACATTCATAACATAATTAAATTACATATATAATACACACACTATAACTTGAGTTTACAAAGAATACAAAGTTCAAGACTACCTGAACGTTCGCAAAACATCACCAAAAGTCGTTGCGGACAGATTGGCGATTCTATTAGAACCTTAATAGGATTAGAAAATAACGTCTAAATCTTTAACTTTATATATTTTCGAGGATGTAGTTATCGATATTGACATATGTAGGCAACATATTAATCTACACAAATGGCAACTTCTTAATTTCATTGATATTCCATTGTCTCAACGCCATGTATATAAATTAAGTGGGTAAAATTTTAGAGATCTGTCATCCTTCATTTGACTAAGACAGAGTTGACAGAGTTACCGAGATAATATAAAATACTGAAAGAAAACTAGTATTCCATCTGTCAACTTAGATGTATTTTTCAATGAATTATTCCGTCAAAACCTACTTCAATACAACCACACTGTAACGGCAGACTGCTTGAACTTTGCTTTGTCAATTTCCCGAATATAGTTGTTGCCTTGAGTTTAGTTGAATAACTCCAACTTGTTAGATCCCTCTAGCTAAAATATGTATATATATGTATATGGTTTTAATGAAGGTATTATTATGCAGCTTAGATCTCATCTTTCGCCTATTAAGCTTGATTTTTCAGCTGGGAGTATGGAAACCAACCCTAATATCCTCTTTCAGTAATGTGTTAAGCGTAGTTATTACCGTTTTCGTTCCGATTAGGCAACCGCTCCTTCGAAGCACTTGCCCTCCATGGTTTAATAAAGTAATTAACTAATATAGAAATAGGAGAAAGAATCTTTTCAAAGATAATGTATGTAGCATTATTTCAGTTATTTTTCTGTAAAATATAGATTCAATTACCTCAATCATCAAAGTTCCTTCAGACGGTAAAATTCTCATTTCTTAATAATCCTAAATATTTTTATAAAATTGCTAACTAAAAGTCTTTATACACTTCTCGTCCATCTATTCATTGCATAATACTTCCAACGAAATTGCTTTGTTTTTCCAATTCGAAACTCGATTTCGATTCCAAATTTAGTCGCTTTAGAAAATGACCTATTACAAGGTTTAAAGTCACTTAAATATTGTTCTGAACTTGAGCCTATAGCTCCATGTCTAAATGGAATTACAATCTCGTCAAAGTGTAACGTATAATCCCTAGGCGAACTCCTCCGCTTATACGTTTTGAGCAGCAGGTTTTTTTATTCCTGGCCACATGTCGGAATGCAGAAATAAGTACGGTACCATCAAACAACGGTGAGGAAAGCAATCGAAAATAGAAGCTACGAAGGCGTGCTACCGCTAGACATGGAAAAGTCCTTATGAAAATCTGACTTGATGGTCTACTTTTCATAAATATATAACTGCTTCAATCCTATCTGCAAAAGAGATATTCCCGAAAATTAAAGGACTAACACATATAAAACCTAGGTGAGAGTGCCTTTTCGAGTGAAACACCCAATACAATACAAATACAAAATTTTACGATTGTTGGGAACATTTTAACTGTAGCGTCTACAGATGACTGCAGCCATATTCGCCTGCAGCTATGATCCCAAAAATTATTTCAGTAAATCAAAAAAATCGCCTCAACAAAAGTTCACTTTGGCTGGACAAACAATTTGAAAACACAGGCTGAAAAATGTACACACACAACGCTCACGCCATTGTGATACCTCGATTTACAAATCAAAAACTAACATGGAAAGAAGGAAAGGAAAAGCTTTACGTTACCAGCTCAGCTCAAAACCCAGAGGCGTTTATAGCCTAAATAATCCAAATACCAAAAATTTAAAGAATAATGTCATATTATATAAGAGTATCTTCAAATAATTTCCTCTTTCTTAACTGAACGCGTGGACACATTAAAAGTTGGAGGGGACCATACATATGGCTGAAGGGAGAACAAAATTGGAAGAAAACAGTAACAAAACTAGCCAAAATGACCTTTAAGCTTCACTTCAAATCAAATTCAACGGTTTTATGCTTAACAGGCTACTTTATAGGCTTAATAATCATATAGCCTTCCTTCTACTAAATGAATCGAATAAAATAAGAATGTCTAGTCAGTAGACACAATGATTGATCTAAAAGCTGATAAAAATATTTGCCCTGCAAACACTCTAGAACAGGTGTGCAGTTTGCCGTTGATAAATTAGCTGCACGTATAAGACGATCGCCTTGACACCCGATTTCTCTTCTACTTTCGTGTTAGCATGATGCAATGAAGTAACCGTAGAGAATAAAACAATTAGTTAACCACAGATATATGGAACGCACTGATGTGTAATTATAAGTAAAACATAACGCGTAACTCACCCCTACCAATGGAAAGTGAAAGCAAACATATAAAAAAAAGAAGACGATTAAGCAAAACAACTACATAATTTTGAATGACATGCAACATAATCCAAGTACACGCGCAAGAATGGAAAAATAAAATCAATTGTGTGAATAAACTTAAAGGTAACACAAAAAGATTACACTGCTACGGTTGCGAGTACTACAGTTATATCATCAGGTTTACCGCCCGTGGCATGTATATTATTGCGTCTGGCATTAATTGCAAACGGCGACATGAAGTCCTTATCAAATGACAATGCGCGAGCTATTGCCGCCAGCGAGTTCGCAGTCATTTGTAATTTAACAGGATCAGTAACACCTTCAACTTCTTTTAATATTTCCACCAGCAATGTTTCGGGAATATTATCGAAAACGCCATCTGTAGCGACTAAAATGACATCGCCAACCAGGACGGGAAAGCTTAGCGTATTTGCAGAGTGGGGACTGTCGCTTAACACTCTGTGATGGCAACCGGGCGGCGGCATTGACAGCTGAAAAGGCGTATTGAAATAATGTTGCTGCTCTTCTGATTTATGAACAATTCGGCCTTTGCGTACTACTAGAAAACCGCTATCTCCTATGTTTGCCGTATAAACAGTACCACTCTCGCGATCGAGTACAAGCACACAAGCTGTGCTGCTGCCTATAATTGGTTTCTCTTGTTCTAACAATTCGCAATAACTAAAGGACAGCAGGTTAACAGGCCGTTGGGGATTGAAGTCAACACAGTGCACTAAACGTTCGCACGTTTTCATAAGAAATGATGAAAATTCACCAGAATCAACACCATAAATACGCCAACCGCCAACGCCATCAGCAACGCCCAAAACATCTGCGGTGGGAGTTGAAGTTGTGAACCATGAGTCTTCACCATATTTGCCCGGTTTGTAGTTTGACGTCAGAAAATCTTTTGGGAAACCACAAACAACAGATATAAAGTACGGTCTCGATTTATGTCCAGCGCTGTTCGAAATCACATGAGTGGCGGCCTCCAATAATGCGGAAAATCTGCTACACAAAAATCTGCGTGATATTAATTTAGAACTCTGGCCGAGAGAATACATTCTGTTCTATAAATATGTGCGCAACAAGAAGGATTCTTATCTAAAGGTTTTGAAATTGATGAATCCGCAAAGTTTGTAACCTTAATCTTCAAGCAATTTCACGTTCTCCTTTTATCCTTTCGTAACACTTCAAGTACTGCTGATCGAAAATTTTCCTTTTTCTTTTTTGAAATAATTAAAATTTATTTTGGGAACCAAAGTTTTCGCGTTTCTTCGTTTCTGCCTTCAAATATTACTCTCAACTTTTTCTTCATGTCAAAAAAAAACGCAAGGTATAAAACATGAACAAATAAAAATTAACCCTTTTATTTTATACTCACCACATGAGGTAAATTCCATTTGTCAAAGTTTTGTGGTGCTCTCAAGGCTTCACATTATGTATGCAAGTCGTATGCCGAAGTCAAGCACTTGTTTTAATTATAAAAAGGTGCCGTCCTTTTAAATGCTTAAGCTTTTCCTTTGTCAGAAGAATCACATTCGGAACAACTAATCCTACGGACATCCTGATACCCACAGAACGCAATATTAATTTACTATATTACTTTATGGAGACTACTAGATTCAATATCTAATTTTTTTTTCTAAAATAGAGCCGATAGCCTGCGTTTCTAGCGCTCTTTCATTTTGGTTACCGTAGCACTTGTATAGTAATAATTTTAATTAACATATAATCGAAATTACGAGTAATTCCGGAATTGTTTCCACGATCACCTTTGGAAATATTGATCGACCGATTTGTTAATTATTGGTATTCCTTAAAAAAAAAAATAAATGAAAACACCATGCTCAGAAAAGAAACGGTCAAAAATTTTTCGAACGGACCGAATAACTTCTCTAGTAAGTATGTTGCTCGAGAATTGATATTGTCGGCCAACTAATCTAAAAAAAATAACGCTCAAACTTTCTCATGTTTGTTTATCGGAGCAGGTCTGTAACAAACCTGCTTAGATAATAGTAATAGTTGTGACTGTAGCGAACCCACGGAAACATCCAACGTATTCCTTTATTATACCTCAGGTATTGCCCTGAAGGACGGTCTTATGAGTTCAGGATAAATCCTAGGCGTTCCACTGTTGTCTCTACAGCTTGTTACTCTACTCCAGGATTTCTAAGTGATTATTATTTTTTAGCACAGCTCCTATCTACTTCGCCTTTCCGACATTCACTATACTACAATAACATTTTTTTATTTTTATATTTATATTTACATTTACTTGCCAAGCATTTTGCAATAATGGGCAAATGGAATAACATAACACGACTGGAGTAAAAGTGCCTAATAAGCTTTTACTCCATTCGACTTCTTCGCCTTCTCGCCTCATTCTTTATTACAGTTTTAATATTGAATCTAATCAATGAACACAAGGAGCCTCTGAAAAATTTGAATAACAAAATGACTTTTTGTACGCCTCAGATACAAAAGTCTAACATTCTAGAATCTACAAAAGTACATTTTCCTAAGTGACATTATTTATAAATTGTGCCACATTTTAGCAGCGGCTTTCATAAGTCAGCTGAAGTGCGTGCAACATGTGTGCTGCAATTATTAAATAGGATTATTAACCTTACGTAAGATGTTGCCTTCACAGCATTGTTAATATTTTCAATAGAATCCATCTTTTTTTTGCTTTTAAAATATTTTTATTAAAAATAAAGAAAAACGTGCATTTGATGGTGTAAGTACAAAAGGAAAGATGAGGTTCGTTCACTCTTTCATTTTTAATGGTATTGTCCTCGACTTACTCGCCTTCTGGGCTTATTACACTTAAGCAATTGCCAACAATGAAAATATTCATGTATGAATTTTTTATTGTGTTTCATATAAATCATATGCACCACATCACACTTTCTGCACGCAGCATACATCTGTACTTACCCAATTGCGTACATATCTGCAGAAAAGATGATTGTATTGCTTATAGCATCTGTTCACTTGAATTACTTTCCGCAACGTAATCGCTACCTAAGCAACATCATAATAGCTAATGAATCAATTCATTGAAGTGCAATCTCACTATTCTACTTTCGACAAATAATATAAATTTATATATAAACTATTTAATTTTACTTGTGTTCCTTTTCTTATGAAAATAGTTTATTTATAATAATTAATGAATGTCTCCATTAGCTTTATTTTAATTGTTTAAGGGAGAAGGCACCTTTTGGTCTCTTGTTAGCAAACATTTTGTTATTGTCTGCTACAGAACGAAGAGAGTACTTTCCGTATTTCTTTAAAAAAAGTGGAAGACTTTATTTAACCTTTTTAAAAACCTTACTTTCGTTTACTTTTTGCTTGAACTTTTTTCTCTTTTCTGTTCAGTTTCACTTTAAGCATTTACAATTAATGAAGATCAAAGTACAACTTTTATAATCGGACATCTATTTCTCCCAGAATTCTGACGAACAATTATGTTTTCAATGTATTATTAGTGAGTTCACTGAAATTTTGTTACAATCCTCGTAATGAGAACATGTAACAGCTACACAAAACATTATAATCGGCTGATGTTGAACATTTAACACTCTCCGTCTCTATCTTAAAAAAGTACAAAAAAAAAAATAATTCCGCACTCTCCAATATTGAACGGGCAACTCCCGCTTTTTCCACTTTTGTTTATACATATATGTATTATGGTCACCGTTAACATAGTCGGGAGAAGCATTATGGTTGCATATATTGTAATTTTTGAGTAATAAGTGCAAAGCGCAATTTTTGTGCTTTTGAAAAGGGATTCCCAATTTATGTTGTACTGTAGACGTGCCCTTGACTGGCAGGCCCGTTTTCAATGCAAGAAATGCTTGCCAAGCATATGCATATGGTTGGACAGAGGTGCTTAGATTGATTCAAAATTGAATGCAGCTCAATTAAATAGATATATATATTCGTGGTCTCCGAAGGCTCTTTGTAAACGTTACAAATATACGAATAAAAAGATTACGGTGTATAGCTTCTTTCGTTGTTCTTAGTTAAGAAGATTTTCGCCAGCCGTAAAGGGAATTCAGAGTGGCGGATTAGCAGTACCTTTCATCCTGAGTCCTCCCTCAATAGGGCTTTACAACGCTTCGAGGTAAATCCTATGGGTGGTGGATAAGCAGTCTCTGCCACTCAGGTTTTCCTTTCCACAATATTTCCAGTCAACAGTCTCCTATGAGTGGACTAGCAGTCTATGCCAGTCCAGGTTTTTTCTCTCGGGCAGGCTAAAACTTATCAATTATGTAGGGAAAGTCCCAATCGACCCCAAGAGAACCGCAGCATGGTCTCTGCTATTCAAATTTTCCAACTAACTAGGTTTAAATTCTTTTCATTTTGTACAAAAAAAGAAATAAAAATAAAAACAGGTGAGAACATTGTATTCGGCCGCGGCCGAATCTTTTATACCAACAACCCTTATCCTAAAAACGACTAAAAAAAAAAGTTAGGTCAAATTTCCATCCTCTTTAATATTGTGGAGACGTAGAACCTTTTCCTATTTTTGTAGAATAAAAGTGGAAATTCATATCGTGGGTCTGTTGCAGTTTAAGGGCAAAGAAGCATATTCTATCCGCATCTATTTTCCAGATCCTTTTATTTGACACCCATATCGACATATCGAGTTGTGAAAAAAAATCATTCCATCGAATCGCGATATCCGTGTTAGATAGTTTAAAATTAGTACATTTAACTTATAGCGTTCTACTCTCCAAATTGTCTTATTTGATTCCCAATTGATTGTACTGTTAAGAGAAAAATAATTCTCCGCGTTGTGGTGTCCATCATATTTATTTTAGAATTAGCACATTTTTAGACATTTGATTACTTGACATTTTCTGAAAGCTAGTCCATTTTCTAAGAAACCAAATTCTAAAAAAAGGAAAACCCATTTACACATTAATGACGCTCTATCTGCCTCATGCAGAGACTGGAGACTGGTGAAAAGATAAACAAAAATTAACAGAACACACAACGGAAGGTGGGATCGTAAAAAAATCGCAATGAAGCAAGGCCCTGGTATCTTGCCTATAAAAGAATATATAAACATCACAATTCCGTATGGCAAAATCCTTTGAGTCAAGAGTGACGAATTGAATAACAGGTCCGTCTACAAAGTAAGTGTAAAAAATTTCATTTTTCTATGTTTCGTAGACAAACTGAGTTTTGTCCATTTTACGCTTTACCGTGGGTGTGTGCTTCAAACAATTTGTCCTATTCAACGCCAACCTGCTTAAAAAACTTACAATGCTTCTGCCGAATATGAACCCGGTAACATAATTTTTGCGAACAGGCAAATGTTTACTACATACATTACACAGATAGACAGACATACGGACGGACACCCATACTTAACTGATGCTGATCAAGAATATGTGCAGTTCGTCGGATCTCTGAAGCTTCTTTCTGCCTTCTCTCGTCCTTCGGTGATAACTATAATAAATTCCCCTCGTTTGATGTTATGAACTTACCTCAGCGACTGCTGAAGCATACGACAAAAGGATGTCGTTTGCATGAAGTTTTTGTACGATCTTTATTTGAGACGATATAACCGGAGACAAGTAAATGGCACCACGGTCTAAAATTTTGTTCAAAATTCAAACTAGCGGATTATTACGGACATTTTGTGTTTCCGCTGTCAACAACAGTAGCAACGCTATTAACTGGCAGCAATTTTACCGCTTACTCTTTTATTTGTGTGCATAGGAATTCTGTTAATTGTATCTTGATATGACGTCACATTCTCTCAAACGCTTGCAAAGCAAACGCCTATGTGGGACAATTTATTGAATTTGAAAAGCTTAGGTGGAATGCTAAACTGTTTCGAAAGTTTCTTAAAAACACGTAGACCAATTTTGTCAAAAGCTTTTCAAGATCAACTGAAAGACTTGCAAATGTTTTTTTCCGGAAATTTCTTTCTTTCTAGTGTAATCGACGTATACTAGAGAACACAATCTAGATGCTATAATTGCTCCGCTAACATAGCGTAGCACAGAGATTGTACGATAATCTGATGCAATTGACGCGTTTT